GCAGCGCCTTTGCCGCTCGTAGAATGCCGGAATGGCATGTGAGCTCCTCGTCGGGGTCGTCCGCACCAACTGAGGGTACGCCTGGAAGTTGCAGCTTCGTTGTAGCCATTTCCAAGTCAATAATGATATCTTGCAGGCTTTGTGTCCCTCGCACGGAGACGCATACGCAGCGGCGCGCGTAGTCGCGACTGAAATGTAGTCAATTCAGCAGCAGCCGTGACAGAATTGAATCGCAATCACCTACAACTCACACGAGGTAAAAAGTCGGATGATACGTGTCCGAGTCCAGGGTCTGAATGTCCGCGTGTAGAACATCGTCCGAGCGTATCCTAGACAAATGAGCAAAAGTCTGTCGCGAGAAGCGGTTGCCGGACGGAGTGAAGGTGGCTGGCAGATCAACGAGTGTGACATGGAGACCGTAGGCAGAGATAGCGAGCCTGCTGGCCCACTTGATATTGCGCACCATCGCCCGGACGTCTCTGGGTCGCTGTCCACGCTCTTTGCGTTCATACTTGTTTCGTCGCGTGCGATCAGTACTGCTGCCAGCACCTCCTGGCGTGCTCAAGAAATAGCTGCCTGGTCCTTTGCTGCCATCTCCTGCCGAAGAGCTTTGTTCGCCGTGTCCCAGACGGGGCTCCAGACGCGGCGTCTTTTGGAACTCGAGGATTTCAGCGCCTTGACGAGTGACCACAAAATCGTCATCGTCGCTTTCGTTGTCACTCTCTGCGCTATCGCTCGAATGCTGGTCTGCGTCTGAGTCCTTGTCGCTCGTCGCTTCAGGCAGTGCAGGCGCGTCGTATTCACCCTTGGACGAGACCGCAGAAGGCGTTGGAGAGTTGTTGGCCTGAGTTGCCTGCGATACATCGTCCGCAGCCTTGGGAGTATCTCGTCGCTGGAGATTCGTCTTCTGCCATCCTTCTAGCTTCACGAGTCCTGCGCCTTCCTCAAGGTACCTCTGACGAGTCACTGTGTAGAGGCAGACAAGTTCGACGATGCCCCTCACTATTTGCCAGCGTGTCAAGCCTTTCGGCTGCTGATGGGCGTCCGTTGAGCCTGTGACGTCCACGACGCTTCCTCTTCGAGACTTCTTCATGCCCTTGGCTTCGTGGTCTTCAGCGGCAACAGTGGCCCATTCCGCCTGGATGAGCTTGTAGGCCTCGACGACGCAACGACTCAAGACGGTCTGCCCAGTGAGGTTCAAAAATAGCCATCGCAGAAACCAAGCAGCGAGGATCATCACTTCGCCAATTCTGTATGCGAGATCTATGACGTGTGCGAGCAGGTAGACGATGAAATCAAAGCAGTGTCCTAGCAGCGTAGGCACACCTCCAAATCGTTCCATCGTGACTGCGGCAGCCGCTGTGCCTCCTGCGCGATCCGGGTATCCCTTGGAAATGCTCATGGAGGAGCGGTCGCCCAGACCGAGATCTCCTATCAAGAACCAAAGCAACCAAGATCGCCCTGGAACCTCGACGGCTCTCCGCTCGAGATCTGCTATTGTTGGGCCCTCGTAGTCAGAGCTGCTGGTGGGTAGCTGGCCTGGAGCCTTGGAGGTGCCGTTTGGAGTTGAAGTACTGTGTAAATCACTAGTCCAAGCTGCAATCATGTCCGAAGGCGTCAAGCGAGCAGAGGCGGTGCGTGAAGCAGGATTCATGTTTGTCGCTCTTGGGTTTGTGTTCTTTCGTCGCCGCGGAACGGCTGAAGGAGTGCTTGGTTGCTCAGATCTTACAGAAGGGTGTAATGCAGGTGACGTTGATGATGCTTTGTCTTCGAACGGATCTTCAAGGGAGTGCTCAAATTCTGAAGTGCTAGGAGAAAGGCGGAATGCTGCCGAATCTAACGATGATTGTGGAAAGGGTGACGGGAGAATTTCGATGTGTGTAGGTTCTAGACGTGGCGTACCGGGCTTGGTACGAGGTGTAGCACTTGTGCCAAGCTGCACAACGTACGAAGGAGCGGCTTGTGTGCTGAGAAATGGTGACATTGCGGGGCTCTTGGCGAGAGGTGTCCATGGAGAAGGTGGAAGACTGAGCAACGTGGGCCCCAGCTTGGGTGTGACTGGCAGACTACCCTTCGCTCTGACCTGGACGCCGCGAGTCATGTAGTCTGCAGACGCCGTTGATCCGACGCTTGTTCGGCGCGAACCAACTCTCGTATTTGGCTGGGAATCGAGGACCATCGGGGTCAGGGCTGCGACTGGACTGCCAAGGTGTACTGGCAACAATCTTGGCGCACGTGGCTGACCGGAGAAAGAGCTCGACAGCTCAGCATCGCTCAGTGACTCATCCGCAAACTCTGACGAGCCAGTGCTACCAAGGCTGCGTTCTCTTCGCTGGGCTGCTCGGCCTCGAGAGAACCTGGCTTCATCGGGCAGCGTGCCACTCTCATATACTGTCTCCAAAGATGGACGGGCCAAATCAAGGGAAGGGTTTCTGAGTGACGGTCGGCGAGTGACGAGATCGGCAGCGGTACTGATAGGGGACGACCGTGGAGTCGGCGTCCGTCGTCCTGCTGAAGCGGAGTGGTTGGGGCTCGCGCGCTCATGTGCTGGTTCTGTGTATCGACGCAGGTGCATGTTAGGTCTTGCGTCGACCGCGCCATGGTCTTTCGCAGCTCGTCGGTTCGCCATGTCGGCCGCGTGAGCCGCACGCACAAAATTCGAGAAGGCAGTGAGCAGCCCGACCTTGTGAGCGGGCCTATTCCTGGCTTTAAGTCGCTCGAACTCCTTGAGAGCCTTTTCACGCTCACGCGCTCTGCGCACCCCCAGCAGCCCTTCGAAGCTTCGAGCATCGCTTCCGCGATCGTCCAGTAATGGTGGCGGAAGCAGGAGCGCGCCTTCCTCATAGCCGTCTCCTGGCCTAGCTCGCCAAGCACTTGAGCCCCCGCTCCATGCGCCAGGCATGTCGATCGGGCTTGGGGGAGCTTCCAAAGCTTCCTGGATGCCCCACGCTGATCCTCGCCCGTACACGCTCAAGGAGCTGCTAGATACGTGGTCAGATTGAGCTCGACGGGAGAGGAACGGCGGCCTCTCCAAATTCTCGAGAGAAGGTTTACCTTGAAATGACGGGCGAG